TACACTGTGTGTGTACACTGTGTGTGTACACTGTGTGTGTGTGTGTAGGGACGTGGGTGAGTGTGAGAAATTTGAGCTGAGCGAGGGGTCCGTGAACCGGGGCCCTGAGAAGATTGGCCCGGAATGCTTCCAGCTGCTGCGCGTGCTGGGCAAGGGCGGATACGGAAAGGTCAGGGGTCACGGGGTCGGAGGGGGGTGTGGGCGGGGGGTCACCGGAGGTCACGGGGAGGAGGGGGGGGTCACGGGGCGGGGGGTCACGGGGGGGGTCGACTGGAGGTCATGGGGGGGTCGACTGGAGGTCACGGGGGGGGTCGACTGGAGGTCACGGGGGGGGTCGACTGGAGGTCACGGGGGGGTCGACTGGAGGTCACGGGGGGGTCGACTGGAGGTCACACCGCCTGCCTTAGTCGCCGCCTGCCTTAGCCGCCGCCTGACTTAGGCCACCGCCTGACTTAGCCGCCGCCTGACTTAGCCACCGCCTGACTTAGCCACCGCCTGCCTTAGTCGCCGCCTGCCTTAGCCACCGCCTGACTTAGCCACCGCCTGACTTAGCCGCCGCCTGACTTAGCCACCGCCTGACTTAGCCACCGCCTGACTTAGCCACCGCCTGACTTAGCCGCTGCGTACACAGATAGCTTCTGTTTGGATGGATGGAGGGAGCTAAACGGGCATGGCACGGGCTGGAGAAGAGATGGAACTGATGGGTGAGTGGGTGGGTGAGTGGGTGAGTGGGTGGGTGAGTGGGTGGGTGGGTGAGTGAGTGGGTGAGTGAGTGAGTGGGTGGGTGAGTGGGTGGGTGAGTGGGTGGGTGAGTGAGTGGGTGGTTGAGTGGGTGGGTGAGTGGGTGGGTGAGTGAGTGGGGTGGGTGAGTGGGTGAGTGAGTGGGTGAGGTGGGTGAGTGGGTGGGTGAGTGGGTGAGTGAGGGGGTGGGTGAGTGGGTTTTGTGAGTGGGTGGTGGGTGAGTGGGTGGGGTGGTGGGTGAGTGAGTGAGTGAGGGAGTGGGTGGGTGAGTGAGTAAGTGGGTGGGTGAGTGAGTGGGTTTTGTGGGTGGGTGGGTGGGTGGGTAGGTGGGTGAGTGGGTAGGTGGGTGAGTGGGTTAGGTGGGTGGGTGAGTGGGTGAGTGGGTGGGTGGGTGAGTGGGTGAGTGAGAGAGTGAGTGGGTGGGTGAGTGAGTGGGTTTTTGTGAGTGGGTGGGTGAGTGAGTGGGTTTTGTGAGTGGGTGGGTGAGTGGGTGGGTGGGTGACGTGAGTGAGTGAGTGGGTGGGTGAGTGGGAGGGTGGGTGAGTGAGTGGGTGGGTGAGTGGGTGAGTGAGTGGGTTTTGTGAGTGGGTGAGTGGGTGGGTGGGTGAGTGAGTGAGTGGGTGGGTGGGTGGGTGAGTGGGTGGGTGAGTGAGTGGGTGGGTGAGTGGGAGGGTGGGTGAGTGAGGAGTGGCCACGGGCTAGAGAAGAGATGGAGTGACGTGGTACAGGAGGACGTGGAGCTGAGTGGACTTGCCGACGACCGGTACCAGCGGTGTCAAGATCAGCCTCAGTGGAGGAGGCTTCGTGAAAGACGCTGCTGATACTGGGGCTAGTGCCAGGCTAGGTGCACCCTGAGGCTACTGGGCAGTTGGAGGCAGTCGCCCTCCAACAACAACGGAGGGCGGAGGAGCGACGCTCACAACAGCGAGCGGAGCGCCGGGTGGCTAAAGCACAGCAGGTTGGCACAGTAGGGGGCACAGGTGGTGCATCAGCCAGTCATCTCAGTCAATCGACCCGTGGCACCTGGGTCTGCCCCGTGACCTCCTGCCAGCGGGCGTTCGACACTTCACGTGGCCTCACGGTGCACATAGCCTGGCACAAGCGTTGTGGTGACGTCACCGCCACTTAGTGGCGAATGGCGGTTGTTGTTGTTGTTGTGGTTGTGTGTGTGTGTGCGTGTGTGTGTGTACGTGTGTGTGTGTGTACGTGTGTGTGTGTGTGTACGTGTGTGTGTGTGTACGTGTGTGTGTGTTGTGTGTGGGAGGGTGGCGTTTGTGCACAGACTGCCCTATATGACATCATAACAACAGTCTGGACCACTGGACGGGTTCCGCAGGATTGGAAGGATGCCCTGGTGGTCCCCCTTTTTAAGAAGGGGGACCGCACAGACTGTAACAACTACAGGGGCATCTCACTCCTCAGTGTGCCTGGGAAAGGTCCTGGCAAGGATTATTCAGCATCGCCTTGCCAGGCACGCTGAGGAGAGGCTTGCGGAGCCCCAATGCGTTTCAGGAAAGGGCGGTCCTGCACAGATGCCATATTTTCTGTCCGTCTGCTACAGCAGAGGTGTAGGGAATTCCAGCAAGACCTACATCTCTGCTTTAATTGACCTGGTCAAGGCCTATGATACCATCAGTAGGCCTGGGCTCTGGGTCGTTCTTCGTGCTTTTGGAAGTACCTGACCCTCTGCTCACGATCATTAAGGACCTTCATGATGGTGAGCGGGCTCCGGGTAAAACTACGTGGCCGGGAGTCAGAGCCATTCCCTGTACACCTTGGGGTGCGACAGGGATGTCCTCTGGCTCCCACATTATTTAACATCTATTTTGACCACGTAGTTCGTGAAGCCTTCAATAGCTGTACCGGGGGAATCTCCATATGGTACAGATATAATGGGAGGCTAATCGATGCCCGGGTGCGGTCAAGGGATGGCTCCCTATTGCTCAACCACGTTATGTATGCTGATGACTTGGTAATAGCTACTCAGTCAGAGGAGGAGTTGGAGACGCCTGCTGCTGAGACTGGAGCGTGCCACTAAGAGGTGGGCCTTACCATCAGCCCCACCAAAACTAAGCACCTGCCTGGGTATTTTTGTACCATCGGACACTCCACCCCCACAACTCCCAATCGGTGATGGGGCAGTTGTGGAGAGAGTGGAGAGTTTCCCATACCTGGGCAGTGTGCTTATGACTGGCTCCAGTTTAACAGCAGAGGTCTCACTCCGAATCAGTCGAGCGGCAATATCTTTCATCGGTTGCGTAACGCTGTGTGGAAGCTACCTGGTCTGTCGCTCCGCACTAAGCTTCAGGTCTTCTCGGCCACGGTCATTCCCTCCCTTCTCTACGCTTGCGAAACGTGGACCCCCCTAATGGAACATCTTCGCCGGTTAGAAACATTTAGGCTGGCCTGCCTACGATCCATCCTGGGTTTAACCAGACTGGATTGTGTGAGGAGCTCACAAATCCTTGAAAGATCTGGGCAGGGTCCCATCGGTGAGCTCCTCCGGCAGGCAAGGCTGCGATGGCTGGGTCATGTTGCCCGCATGCCCAGCCACCGCATGCCGAAACAGCTTTTGTTTGGCCGGATTGAGGGGGCTAAGCGGGCGCGGCACGGGCTGGAGAAGAGATGGAGTGATGTGGTACAGGAGGACGTGGAGCTGAGTGGACTTGCCGATGACTGGTACCAGCGGTGTCAAGATCGGCCTCTGTGGAGGAGGCTCGTGAAGGATGCTACTGGGCAGTTGGAGGCAGTCGCCCTCCAACAACAGTCAGTCGACCCGTGGCACCCTCAGTCAGTCGACCCGTGGCACCTGGGTCTGGCCCGTGACCTCCTGCCAGCGGGCGTTCGACACTTCACGTGGCCTCAGGGTGCACATAGCCTGGCACAAGCGTCGTGTTGACGTCACCGCCACTTAGTGGCGAATGGCGGTTGTTGTTGTTGTTGTGTGTGTACGTGTGTGTGTACGTGTGTGTGTACGTGTGTACGTGTGTGTACGTGTGTGTGTGTACACGTGTGTGTCTGTGTGTGTGTACGTGTGTGTGTGTGTGTGTGTGTACGTGTGTGTGTGTGTGTAAGTGTGTGTGTGTGTACGTGTGTGTGTGTACGTGTTGTGTGTGTTCGTGTGTGTGTGTACGTGTGTGTACGTGTGTGTGTGTGTGTACGTGTGTGTGTGTACGTGTGTGTACGTGTGTGTATGTGTGTGTGTGCAGGTTTTCCAAGTCCGTAAGGTGACCGGCACAGACAATGATAGCATTTTCGCTATGAAGGTTCTGAAGAAGGTGAGCGATGATCTCTCACTCACTCACACACTCACTAATACACTCACTCACTCACTCTCTCATTCACTCTCTCACTCACTCACTCTCTCACTCACTCACTCACTCTCTCACTCTCTCACTCACTCACTCTCTCACTCACTCACTCACTCTCTCACTCACTCACTCACTCTCTCACTCACTCACTCACTCTCTCACTCACTCACTCCCTCACTCACTCACTCACCACACTCACTCACCACACTCACTCACTCACCACACTCACTCACTCACTCTCACTCACTCACCCACCCACTCACTCACTCTCTCACTCACTCACTCTCTCACTCACTCTCTCACTCACCCCACGCTCACCCCACGCTCACCACTCACTCTCTCACTCTCACTCACTCTCTCACTCACTCTCTGAGGAGACAAAGGCGGCCGGGCGTGGTCCTGGCCACCCACCCCTTCTGTGCGTGCCACAGTGCCGGTAGTAGCAGCACTTGCCCCTGCAGCCCTGCTAGAGGCTACCTGGGGGAGCTTTGTCTGTGTGTGCGCATCATAGGTGGTGCTACTCGCTAGCTAACAGCACTTGCCCCTACAGCCCTGCTAGAGGCTACCTGGGGGATCTTTGTCTGTGTGTGTGCATCATAGGTGGTGCTACTCGCCACTAGCAGCACTTGCCCCTACAGCCCTGCTAGAGGCTACCTGGGGGAGCTTTGTCTGTGTGTGCGCATCATAGGTGGTGCTACTCGCTAGCTAACAGCACTTGCCCCTACAGCCCTGCTAGAGGCTACCTGGGGGAGCTTTGTCTGTGTGTGCGCATCATAGGTGGTGCTACTCGCTAGCTAACAGCACTTGCCCCTACAGCCCTGCTAGAGGCTACCTGGGGGAGCTTTGTCTGTGTGTGGTGTGTGTAGTACATAGACACTGCTGCTGCTACTCGCCACCACTAACAGCACTTGCCCCTACAGCCCTGCTAGAGGCTACCTGGGGGAGCTTTGTCTGTGTGTGTGTACATCATAGGTGGTGCTACTCGCCACTAGCAGCACTTGCCCCTACAGCCCTGCCAGAGGCTACCTGGGGGATCTTTGTCTGTGTGTGTGAACAGGCTGCCATCGTGTGTAACGCCAAGGACACCGCTCACACCAAGGCCGAGAGGAGCATCTTGGAAGCCATCCGGCACCCGTTCATCGTGGAGTTGGCCTACGCCTTCCAGACGGGAGGAAAGCTGTACCTCATCCTGGAGTACCTGAGTGGTTGATCACTAACTCCTGGCTCGCCCGCTCGCTCACCAACTCGCTCATTCACCAACTCGCTCGCTCACCAACTCGCTCGCTCGCCAACTCGCTCACTCACTCACTCGCTCGCTCACCAACTCGCCCGCTCACTCACCAACTCGCTCACTCGCTCAACAACTCGCTCGCTCACCAACTCGCTCGCTCACCAACTCGCTCGCTCACCAACTCGCTCGCTCACCAACTCGCTCGCTCGCCAACTCGCTCACTCACTCACTCGCTCGCTCACCAACTCGCCCGCTCACTCACCAACTCGCTCACTCGCTCAACAACTCGCTCGCTCACCAACTCGCTCGCTCACCAACTCGCTCGCTCACCAACTCGCTCATTCACTCGCTCACCCACTCGCTCGCTCGCTCACCAACTCCCTCGCTCGCCTCACCAACTCGCTCGCTCGCTCACAACTCGCTCCACTCGCTCACCAACTCGCTCGCCCGCTCGCTCACTAACTCACTCACCTCGCTCACCAACTCGCTCACTCACCCACCCGCTCACCAACTCACTCGCTCACCAACTTACTCGCTCGCTCACCAACTCGCTCGCTCACCAACTCGCTCGCTTGCTCACCAACTCCCCTCGCTCGCTCGCTCACCAACTCGCTCGCTCACCAACTCACTCGCTCGCTCACCAACTCGCTCGCTCACCAACTCGCTCACTCACCAACTCACTCCCTCGCTCACCAACTCGCTCGCTCACCAACTCGCTCGCTCACCAACTCGCTCGCTCACCAACTCGCTCGCCTCACCAACTCGCTCGCCCGCTCACCAACTCGCTCGCTCGCTCACCAACTCGCTCGCTCGCTCACCAACTCGCTCGCTCACCAACTCGCTCACTCACCAACTCACTCGCTCACTCACCAACTCGCTCGCTCACCAACTCGCTCGCTCACCAACTCGCTCGCTCACCAACTCGCTCACTCACCAACTCACTCACTCGCTCACCAACTCACTCACTCGCTCACCAACTCGCTCGCTCACCAACTCGCTCGCTCACCAACTCGCTCACTCACCAACTCACTCGCTCACCAACTCACCAAATCACTCGCTCACCAACTCACTCGCTCACCAACTCACTCGCTCACCAACTCGCTCGCTCACCAACTCGCTCGCCCACCAACTCACTCGCTCACCAACTCACTCGCTCACCAACTCGCTCGCTCACCAACTCGCTCGCTCACCAACTCACTCACCAACTCGCTCGCTCACCAACTCACTCGCTCACCAACTCTCTCGCTCACCAACTCGCTCGCTCACCAACTCACTCGCTCGCTCACCAACTCACTCGCTCACCAACTCGCTCACTCACCAACTCGCTCCCTCGCTCACCAACTCGCTCGCTCACCAACTCACTCGCTCACCAACTCGCTCGCTCACCAACTCGCTCACTCACTCACCAACTCGCTCGCTCGCCAACTCGCTCACTCACTCACTCGCTCGCTCACCAACTCGCCCGCTCACTCACCAACTCGCTCACTCGCTCAACAACTCGCTCGCTCACCAACTCTCTCGCTCACCAACTCGCTCGCTCAACAACTCACTCGCTCACCAACTTGCTCGCTCACCAACTCGCTCACTCACCAACTCACTCCCTCACTCACCAACTCGCTCGCTCACCAACTCGCTCGCTCACCAACTTGCTCGCTCACCAACTCGCTCGCTCACCAACTCACTCACTCGCTCACCAACTCACTCACTCGCTCACCAACTCGCTCGCTCACCAACTCGCTCGCTCACCAACTCGCTCACTCACCAACTCGCTCGCTCACCAACTCACTCGATCATCAACTCGCTCGCTCACCAACTCACTCGCTCACTCACCAACTCACTCGCTCACCAACTCGCTCGCTCACCAACTCGCTCGCTCACCAACTCACTCGCTCACCAACTCACTCGCTCACCAACTCGCTCGCTCACCAACTCGCTCGCTCACCAACTCACTCACCAACTCGCTCGCTCACCAACTCACTCGTTCACCAACTCTCTCGCTCACCAACTCGCTCGCCTCACCAACTCACTCGCTCGCTCACCAACTCACTCGCTCACCAACTCGCTCACTCACCAACTCGCTCCCTCGCTCACCAACTCGCTCGCTCACCAACTCACTCGCCTCACCAACTCGCTCGCTCACCAACTCGCTCACTCACTCACCAACTCGCTCGCTCGCAACTCGCTCACTCACTCACTCGCTCGCTCACCAACTCGCCCCGCTCACTCACCAACTCGCTCACCGCTCAAACAACTCGCTCGCTCCACCAACTCGCTCGCTCACCAACTACCTCGCTCACCAACTCACTCGCTCACCAACTCGCTCGCTCACCCACTCGCTCGCTCACCAACTCACTCACCAAACTCGCTCGCTCACCAACTCACTCGCTCACCAACTCTCTCGCTCACCAACTCGCTCGCTCACCAACTCACTCGCTCGCTCACCAACTCACTCGCTCACCAACTCGCTCACTCACCAAACTCGCTCCCTCGCTCACCAACTCGCTCGCTCGCTCACCAACTCACTCGCTCACCAACTCGCTCGCTCACCAACTCGCTCACCAACTCGCCCGCTCGCTCACCAACTCGCTCACTCACTCACTCGCCGCTCACCAACTCGCCCGTTCGCTCACCAACTCGCTCACTCGATCAACAACTCGCTCGCTCACCAACTCGCTCGCCTCACCAACTCCGCTCGCTCACCAACTCGCTCACTCACTCGCTCACCCACTCGCTCGCTCGCTCACCAACTCCCTCGCTCGCTCACCAACTCGCTCGCTCGCTCACCAACTCGCTCACTCGCTCACCAACTCGCTCGCCCGCTCGCTCACCAACTCACTCACTCGCTCACCAACTCGCTCACTCACCAACCCGCTCACCAACTCACTCGCTCACCAACTTACTCGCTCGCTCACCAACTCGCTCGCTCACCAACTCGCTCGCTTGCTCACCAACTCCCTCGCTCGCTCGCTCATCAACTCGCTCGCTCACCAACTCCACTCGCTCGCTCACCAACTCGCTCGCTCACCAACTCGCTCACTCACCAACTCACTCCCTCGCTCACCAACTCGCTCTGCTCACCAACTCGCTCGCTCACCAACTCGCTCGCTCACCAACTCGCTCGCTCACCAACTCGCTCGCCCCGCCTCACCAACTCGCTCGCTCGCCTCACCAACTCGCTCGCTCGCTCACCAACTTGCTCGCTCACCAACTCGCTCACTCACCAACTCACTCCCTCACTCACCAACTCGCTCGCTCACCAACTCGCTCGCTCACCAACTAGCTCGCTCACCAACTCGCTCGCTCACCAACTCACTCACTCGCTCACCAACTCACTCACTCGCTCACCAACTCACTCGCTCACCAACTCGCTCGCTCACCAACTCGCTCACTCACCCAACTCGCTCGCCTCACCAACTCACTCGATCATCAACTCGCTCGCTCACCAACTCACTCGCTCACCAACTCACTCGCTCACCAACTCGCTCGCTCACCAACTCGCTCGCTCACCAACTCCCTCGCTCACCAACTCGCTCGCTCACCAACTCGCTCGCTCACCAACTCACTCACCAACTCGCTCGCTCACTCACCAACTAACTCACTCACCAACTCTCTTCGCTCACCAACTCGCTCGCTCACCAACTCACTCGCTCGCTCACCAACTCACTCGCTCACCAACTCGCCTCACTCACCAACTCGCTCCCTCGCTCACCAACTCGCCGCTCACCAACTCACTCGCTCACCAACTCGGCTCGCTCACCAACTCGCTCACTCACTCGCCAACTCGCTCGCCTCACTCACCAACTCGCTCACCTCACCAACTCGCTCACTCACCAATCCACTCGCTTGCTCACCAACTCGTTCACTCGCTCATCAACTCAAGCCACTCGCTCTGTGTCTGTGTGTGTGTCTGTGTCTGTGTGTGTCTGTGTGTGTCTGTGTGTGTGTCTGTGTGTGTGTGTGTCTGTGTGTGTGTCTGTGTGTGTGTCTGTGTGTGTCTGTGTGTGTCTGTGTGTGTGTCTGTGTGTGTGTCTGTGTGTGTCTGTCTGTGTGTGTGTGTGTCTGTGTGTGTCTGTGTGTGTATGTGTGTGTATGTGTGTCTGTTGTGTGTGTAACTTGTGTGTGTCTGTGTGTGTGTCTGTGTGTCTGTGTGTGTGTCTGTGTGTGTCTGTGTGTGTGTCTGTGTGTGTGTCTGTGTGTGTGTCTGTGTGTGAGGGAACAGGCGGGGAGCTCTCATGCAACTGGAGCGTGAGGGCAATCTTCATGGAAGACACGGCGTGGTGAGGCTCTATCGCTCACCCGCTCACTCACCCACTCACCCACTCACTCACCCACTCACCCAGTCACCTACTCACCCCTCACTCACCCACTCACCCGCTCACCCACTCACCCATTCACCCAGTCACACACTCACTCACCCGCTCACCCACTCACCCAGTCACCCACTCACCCACTCATCCAGTCACCCGCTCACCCACTCACCCACTCACTCGCTCACCCGCTCACCCACTCACCCGCTCACCCACTCACCCAATCACCCGCTCACCCACTCACTCACCCGCTCACCCGCTCACCCACTCACCTGCTCACCCACTCAACCACTCACTCACTCACCCAGTCACCCACTCACCCGCTCACCCACTTAAACCCACTCACTCACTCACCCAGTCACCCACTCATCCACTCACCCACTCACTCACTCACCCACTGACCCACTCACCCACTCACCCAGTCACTCACTCACCCGCTCACCCACTCACCCACTCACCCGCTCACCCACTCAACCACTCACTCACCCACTCACCCGCTCACCCACTCACCCAATCACCCGCTCACCCACTCACTCACCCGCTCACCCGCTCACCCACTCACCTGCTCACCCACTCAACCACTCACTCACTCACCCAGTCACCCACTCACCCGCTCACCCACTTAACCACTCACTCACTCACCCAGTCACCCACTCATCCACTCACCCACTCACTCACTCACCCACTCACCCACTCACCCACTCACCCAGTCACTCACTCACCCGCTCACCCACTCACCCACTCACCCGCTCACCCACTCAACCACTCACTCACCCACTCACCCACCCACTCACTCACCCACTCACTCACTCACCCACTCACTCACCCACCCACTCACCCGCTCACCCACTCACTCACTCACTAACCCACTCACTCACTCACTCACCCACTCACCCACTCACCCAGTCACTCACTCACCCGCTCACCCACTCACCCACTCACCCGCTCACCCACTCAACCACTCACTCACCCACTCAACCGCTCACCCAGTCACCCACTCACCCGCTCACCCACTCAACCACTCACTCACTCACCCAGTCACCCGCTCACCCACTCACTCACTCACCCACTCACCCACTCACTCACTCACCCCACTCACTCACCCACTCACCCCACTCACTCACCCACTCACTCACCCAGTCACTCACTCACCCGCTCACTCACTCACCTGCTCACCCACTGGCCCACTAGCTTGCTCATCCATTCCCTCACTCGCCCGCCCGCTCCGCTCTCCCGTTATTCTTTCTTACTGGCTCCTCCACTCGCCCAACTAAGATTGTCCGTGTGTCTCTGTCTCCCTGAGTCTCCTGTCTGTCCACACGTCCCCAACGCGTCTCCCCGTGTCTCTCCCCCCACCCCCGTGTCTCACCACGTGTCTCTCCTCCCTTGCCTCTCCCCCCGTGTCTCTCTCCCCGTGTCTCTCCTCCCCGTGTCTCCCCCCCCGTGTCTCTCCCCCGTGCCTCTCACCCCCCCCCACCCCCCCGTGTCTCTCTCCCCGTGTCTCCCCCCGTGTCTCTCCCCACCCCCGTGTCTCACCCCCCTCCCCTCCCCCGTGTCTCTCTCCCCCCGTGTCTCTCCCCCACCCCCGTGTCTCACCCCCCTCCCCTCCCCCGTGTCTCTCTCCCCCCGTGTCTCTCCCCACCCCCGTGTCTCACCCCTCCCCTCCCCCGTGTCTCTCTCCCCCCGTGTCTCTCCCCACCCCCGTGTCTCACCCCCCTCCCCCTCCCCCCGTGTCCTCTCCCCACCCCCGTGTCTCACCCCCCCGTGTCTCTCCCCCTGTGTCTCACCCCATGTCTCTCTCCCACCCCGTGTCTCAACCCCGTGTCTCCCCCGCGTCTCTCCCCCGTGTCTCACCCCATGTCTCTCTCCCACCCCGTGTCTCACCCCGTGTCTCCCCACCGCGTCTCTCCCCCGTGTCCTCACCCCATGTCTCTCCCCCGTGTCTCTCCCCGTGTCTCTCTCTCCCCCGCGTCTCTCCCCCCATGTCTCTCCCCCTGTGTCTCACCCCATGTCTCTCTCTCCCCCCGTGTCTCACCCCGTGTCTCTCCCCCCCGTGTCTCACCCCCGTGTCTCTCTCCCACCCCGTGTCTCTCCCCCGTGTCTCACCCCATGTCTCTTTCCCACCCCGTGTCTCACCCCGTGTCTCACCCCATGTCTCTTTCCCACCCCGTGTCTCACCCCCGTGTCTATCTCCCCCCGTCTCTCCCCACCACTGTGTCTCTCCCCCCGTGTCTTCCCCCCCGTGTCTCCGTTGTGTAGCTTCTACCTGGCTGAGATCACGCTGGCTCTGGGTCACCTCCACTCACACGGAATCATCTACAGAGACCTCAAGCCTGAGAACATCATGCTGAACCACCAGGGTAACACCACGCTCACCACCACGCTCACCACTCACCACCACTCACCACCACTCACCACTCACACGGAATCATCTACAGAGACCTCAAGCCTGAGAACATCATGCTGAACCACCAGGGTAACACCACACTCACCACTCACCACTCACCACCACGCTCACCACTCACCACTCACACGGAATCATCTACAGAGACCTCAAGCCTGAGAACATCATGCTGAACCACCAGGGTAACACCACACTCACCACTCACCACCACGCTCACCACTCACCACTCACACGGAATCATCTACAGAGACCTCAAGCCTGAGAACATCATGCTGAACCACCAGGGTAAACACCACACTCACCACTCACCACCACGCTCACCACTCACCACTCACACGGAATCATCTACAGAGACCTCAAGCCTGAGAACATCATGCTGAACCACCAGGGTAACACCACGCTCACCACTCACCACTCACCACCACGCTCACCACTCATCACCACGCTCACCACTCACCACTCACCACCACACTCACCACTCACCACCACACTCACCACTCACCACCACGCTCACCACTCACCACTCACACGGAATCATCTACAGAGACCTCAAGCCTGAGAACATCATGCTGAACCACCAGGGTAACACCACGCTCACCACTCACCACTACACTCACCACTCACCACCACACTCACCACTCACACGGAATCATCTACAGAGACCTCAAGCCTGAGAACATCATGCTGAACCACCAGGGTAACACCACGCTCACCACTCACCACTCACCACCACCACTCACCACCACACTCACCACTCACACGGAATCATCTACAGAGACCTCAAGCCTGAGAACATCATGCTGAACCACCAGGGTAACACCACACTCACCACCACGCTCACCACTCACCACCACGCTCACCACTCACCACTCACACGGAATCATCTACAGAGACCTCAAGCCTGAGAACATCATGCTGAACCACCAGGGTAACACCACACTCACCACCACGCTCACCACTCACCACCACTCACCACCACTCACCACTCACACGGAATCATCTACAGAGACCTCAAGCCTGAGAACATCATGCTGAACCACCAGGGTAACACCACGCTCACCACTCACCACTCACCACCACGCTCACCACTCACACTCACCACTACACTCACCACTCACCACCACGCTCACCACCACGCTCACCACTCACCACTACACTCACCACTCACCACCACGCTCACCACTCACCACCACGCTCACCACTCACCACTCACCACCACGCTCACCACTCACCACTCACCACCACGCTCACCACTCACACTCACCACTACACTCACCACCACGCTCACCAGCACGCTCACCACTCACCACTACACTCACCACTCACCACTCACCACCACGCTCACCACTCACCACCACGCTCACCACTCACCACTCACCACCACGCTCACCACTCACCACTCACCACCACGCTCACCACTCACACTCACCACTACACTCACCACTCACCACCACGCTCACCACCACGCTCACCACTCACCACTACACTCACCACACACCACTCACCACCACGCTCACCACTCACCACCACGCTCACCACTCACCACTCACCACCACGCTCACCACTCACCACTCACCACCACGCTCACCACTCACACTCACCACTACACTCACCACTCACCACCACGCTCACCACCACGCTCACCACTCACCACTACACTCACCACTCACCACTACACTCACCACTCACCACCACGCTCACCACTCACCACTCACCACCACGCTCACCACTCACCACCATGCTCACCACTCACCACTCACCACCACGCTCACCACCACCACGCTCACCACTCACCACTCACCACCACACTCACCACTCACCACCACGCTCACCACTCACCACTCACCACCACCACGCTCACCACTCACACTCACCACCACCACGCTCACCACTCACCACCACGCTCACCACTCACACTCACCACGCTCACCACTCACCATCACGCTCACCACTCACTCACCGCTCCCCACTCACACTCACCACCACGCTCACCACTCACCACCACACTCACCACCGCACTCACCACCACGCTCACCACCACGCTCACCACCACATTCACCGCCACGCTCACCACCACGCTCACCACTACGCTCACCACTCACCACCACGCTCACCACTCACCACCACGCTCACCACTCACCGCTCACCACCACGCTCACCACTCACCACCACGCTCACCACCACGCTCACCACCACGCTCACCGCTCACCACCACGCTCACCACTCACCACCACGCTCACCACTCACCGCTCACCACCACGCTCACCACTCACCACCACGCTCACCACCCACACTCACCACTCACCACCACGCTCACCACTCACACTCACCACTCACACTCATCACCACGCTCACCACTCACCACCACGCTCACCACTCACACTCACCACTCACAACTACACTCACCACTCACACTCACCACCACGCTCACCACTCACCACTACGCTCACCACTCACCACCACGCTCACCACCACGCTCACCACCACGCTCACCGCTCACCACCACGCTCACCACTCACCACCACGCTCACCACTCACACTCACCACTCACAACTACACTCACAACTACACTCACCACTCACACTCACCACCACGCTCACCACTCACCACTACGCTCACCACTCACCACCACGCTCACCACTCACACTCACCACTCACCACTCACACGGAATCATCTACAGAGACCTCAAGCCTGAGAACATCATGCTGAACCACCAGGGTAACACCACACTCACCACCACGCTCACCACCACGCTCACCACTCACCACCACGCTCACCACCACGCTCACCACCACACTCACCACTCACACGGAATCATCTACAGAGACCTCAAGCCTGAGAACATCATGCTGAACCACCAGGGTAACACCACACTCACCACCACGCTCACCACCACGCTCACCACTCACCACCACGCTCACCACCACGCTCACCACCACACTCACCACTCACACGGAATCATCTACAGAGACCTCAAGCCTGAGAACATCATGCTGAACCACCAGGGTAACACCACGCTCACCACCACGCTCACCACTCACCACCACGCTCACCACTCACCACCACGCTCACCACTCACCACCACGCTCACCACTCACTGCTCACCACCACGCTCACCACTACACTCACCACCACCACGCTCACCACTCACCACTCACCACCACGCTCACCACTCACCACCACGCTCATCACCACCACGCTCACCACTCACCACCATGCTCACCACTCACCACCACGCTCATCACCACCACGCTCACCACTCACCACTCACCACCACTCACCACTCACCACCACGCTCACCACTCACCACCACTCACCACCACTCACCACTCACTACCACGCTCACCACCACGCTCACCACCACGCTCACCACTCACCACTACACTCACCACCACCACGCTCACCACTCACACTCACCACCACCACGCTCACACTCACCGCTCACACTCACCACTCACACTCACCACCACGCTCACACTCACCGCTCACACTCACCACTCACACTCACCACCACGCTCACCACTCACCAACACGCTCATCACTCACACTCACCACCACCACGCTCACCACTCACACTCACCGCTCACACTCACCACTCACACTCACCACCACGCTCACCACTTACCAACACGCTCACCACTACACTCACCACCACGCTCACCACTCACACTCACCATCACACTCACCACTCACACTCACCACCACACTCACTACTACACTCACCACCACGCTCACCACTACACTCACCACCACGCTCACCACTCACACTCACCACTCACACTCACCACTCACACTCACCACTACACTCACCACTCACACTCACCACTCACACGGAATCATCTACAGAGACCTCAAGCCTGAGAACATCATGCTGAACCACCAGGGTAACACCACGCTCACCACCACGCTCACCACTCACCACCACGCTCACCACTCACCACCACACTCACCACTCACCACTCACACGGAATCATCTACAGAGACCTCAAGCCTGAGAACATCATGCTGAACCACCAGGGTAACACCACACTCACCACCACGCTCACGACTCACCACTACACTCACCACCACGCTCACCACTCACCACTCACACGGAATCATCTACAGAGACCTCAAGCCTGAGAGCATCATGCTGAACCACCAGGGTAACACCACGCTCACCACCACGCTCACCACCACGCTCACCACCACACTCACCACCACGCTCACCACCACGCTCACCACCACACTCACCACCACGCTCACCACCACGCTCACCACCACACTCATCGCCACGCTCACCACCAGACTCACCACCACGCTCACCACCACGCTCACCACCACACTCATCACCACACTCACCAACACGCTCACCACCACGCTCACCACCACATTCACCGCCACGCTCACCACCACGTTCACCACCACGCTCACCACCACGCTCACCACATTCACCACAGACTCACCACCACGCTCACCACCACGCTCACCACCACACTCACCACAACGCTCACCACCACGCTCACCACCACATTCACCGCCACGCTCACCACCACGCTCACCACCACACTCAACACCACATTCACCACCACACTCACCATCACACTCACCGCAACGCTCACCACTCACCACCACGCTCACCACTCTGGTAACAATGCAACTATTAGTTTAGTTGTAACAATGTAACTACTAGTTTAGTTGTAACAATGTAACTAATAGTTTAGTTGTAACAATGTAACTACTAGTTTAGTTGTAACAATGTGAAGGTGAGTTTAGTTGTAACAATGTGAAGGTGAGTTTAGTTGTAACAATGTAACTACTAGTTTAGTTGTAACAATGTAACTATTAGTTAAGCTGTAACAATGTAACTACTAGTTTAGTTGTAACAATGTAACTACTAGTTTAGTTGTAACAATGTAACTACTAGTTTAGTTGTAACAATGTAACTACTAGATTAGTTGTAACAATGTAACTAC